TTTAGCCTGTTAAAAGCATTCCAATATAAAGACAGGAAATCCATTACTATTTCACATTTTCAAGGGTGACGAGAAACAAGAAGTTAGGTATATTTGCCTGTTGTATGCTGCCTACATGTTTAACAACCTGCATCAACCTGCCGCCTTCCAGATGTTTTGAGTTGGGCCTGATGGAAGTTGTAGTCTGCAACATCTAGAGGGCACCAGGTTGATGAAGGCCGATGTACAAAATAATTGCTTCAGCTTGGGGTCTGTTTTTAACATTCCTGCTCAGAGTGTTAAAGTGGCATTTCCTCCTTTTGAAGATTTGATGCCTAAAAATGTTTTTAATGTCTAGGTTTGACATTAGGAGGCTAATACAGCTGTTAAAATGCTTCAGGCACGTGCTTATTTAGGAGAACAAAAGTGTGAGAATTTGCTCATTCTCACATGGTTCCTGGCAGAAGGATACTGTCACATGAAACTTCCAGAAAAAATGAATTCACATTTTTCTCATTCTAATGGGAGCATACTCAGTGCTAGAGATGTGCCTAATGCAGAACAGATATTTTGGCTGTGTCGTCGCTATTTAATATTAGAGATTTATTTGAAATCTCTGCTTTTTCTGTTTTACAACATGCCTAAAATCCAACAAAATGGACAGTGAGGATACTCAGAAACGGATTGCGTTGTTTGAGGGAGTTGAAATGCCATCTTCCTGGTAGCAGGATTGCTGCCACTCACCAGGAGAGAAAGGGAGAAGAGCAAGGTTGTGGAGAGGCTGGCACAGACCACACCAACCTTGCTGATGGCATCAACCTTGCTGCCAGGAAGCTAGCATTGCAGCTCCGCCCCACTGGACGAGTTGTTTCCGGGGGCATATTCAACTATCTTGCTGGGTGGGCTTCCTGTCTCAGCTGCTGCTCTTAGTGGAAGTCAAAAGAGGCACTATTGAATGGTGTACACAGTGGTACCTCAGGTTACAGATGCTTCAGGTTACAGATGCTTCAGGTTACAGATGCTTCAGGTTGAGAACAGAAATCGCGTGGTGGCAGCACGGCGGCGGTGGGAGGCCCCATTACCTAAAGTGGTACCTCAGGTTAAGAACAGTTTCAGGTTAAGAATGGACCTCCAGAACGAATTAAGTTCTTAACCCGATGTACCACTGTATAGTAATCTTGCTCTCAGATGTCCCAAATGGAACTCTGTGCTTAATTACTTAGCATTACTGGTCTCAGAGGAAACTTTTCTAGCCTGGATGTGACTGCCCAGGGAGGGAGAGGGCATAGCTTAGTGGTTAAGTACGTGCAGTTTCAATCCCTGACATCTCCAGTTAAAATGATCAGTTAGTGGGTGATACAAAAGACCTTTCTGCCTAGTACCCCAAAGAGCCACTGCCAATCAGAGTAGGCAGGACTGGGCAAGATGGATGGACAGCTTGGTGTGGTATAAAGCAGCTTCCTATTTTCCCTGTATTCCTCAACCAGGCTGTTGCTGATGTTTCTCACAATTGGTATGCAGAATGGGTCCTTCCCCAGCACTGCAGGGTTCTATCACACTCTCCCCCGCCCCTGCTGAAATTAGGCTTGGGGTGCAATTTTGGTGAGAGGACTATTTCCTTTTCAGCTGTGCTCCCACTTCACAATTATGCTACCAACAACCTTTTATGGGTCACAATGGAAACCAGTTATGGCATGTTCATGGTGGCCATGACAGTTTCTCCAGTTTACCCATGGGCCCATGGGTATGAAAAGGTTAGTGACCCCAGTGTACTAATTAATATGTTACCTACATTGACTCATATGTGCACGTGGCATCTCAAGGGAGTGGTCCACTTGTATAACTCAGTGATTGCACTCACAGAAGATTGCTTCAGTTTTCAGTGTACCTGGTTATGGAAGTGTCCTTTTTGATCTTGATGTGCCATTTCCCTGAGATCCTATGGGATGAAGGGAGGTCTAAAAGTAGACCAAAAATACTGCTCCAATGATTAAACCACCTGTGTGTAAGCAGATATTTGCTTATATCTGCTGGCTTAGGTGTAAGTGTCTCTCTGCAAGTTCTGCCACAATAGGAATGTGGTGTTAGATATCTAAGTCTGAAATCAGAGCTGGAGAACCAGTGGCTGTCTAAATGGACCACAATTCCCATCATCCTTGATCATTGGCCATGCTGCCTGTGGATGATGTGAGTTGGCGTTTGACACCTTTTGGTTTTCTAGCTCTGCCTAACTCTCTCTCTCTTTGTACTTTTAAAACACAGCTCTGAAAGTGATCCCTGGAGTCAATGCATTTAAATATATTTGACCTGTAGAGATTGCTCTAAATCTTAGCATACCTTTAACTGAATTACAATAAATAGTGAAGAAAGGTTCACAAATCAAGTTTTACATTGTCAATCATCTAGACAGGGCAGGCTTAAATGTCTTGACCAGGTATTATTTTTCTTTATGTTCCTTCTCTTGTCATGGTTTTAAGGACTTGGCAAGTGATTGAGAAGGTTAGCCTAAAAAAACATATTTCAAAATGCTTGGCATATATTATAATACTCATAAGAGGACCAGTTTCAGCACCAAAGCACCTGGGGTTTGAAAACATGGTGCTTCAACTGTCCCAGAGCTTCCCATTAAAATGGGCAATTCATTCAAGAATTTGGTCCTTTCTGGAGGCCTGTTCATTAAGACAGTTTACAGTTATCGTTAGGCTTTCTTGGCTTCAAAATTGTGCTAGTAACTTTTCCACATTTGTGCAAGCATGACTGGTTCTTATGGGTGAGCAGCATGTGGTCTACAGCTTGTGAATGGCACTCCACCAGCTAGACAAAACACAAAGATGGCTTGCCTTTTCTGTTGCTCTCCTTCCTTGCCCAGCCAACACATAGTCCCTGCTAAGACTGTTAAGGCCATCGTGTGGTGGCAGCATTGGCAAAAGCTGAAGGGAAGATGCAAAAGATGAAATGAGTCAGCAATCAGGGAGGAAAGTAAAGATGCAGGGCAGGGTGGGGAAACTCAATTTCTGAAGATGCCACAAAACAAGCACTTTCGAAATGTTTTGCAGATGAGTGGAGGAAGTGTAACCTGGACAGGCATGAGAACCATCAGGCCTGGTGGCCAAACACAATTCTCCAGACCTCTCTATTTGGCTATTGGAATACTCCCCAGGCCATCTCCCTAGTCCACACCTCTCATGGACTCTGCTTCACACCCTAAGTGTCCTGCCTCACTGTAATGTTCCCTGGATTTTGATAATGCCACTAGCTTACATCCCTTGGACGGTTTCCCAGAAGAGTTGTGGCCTTCAAACTTAAAAAGGTTTCCCACACCTTTCATAGGGCATGACTGGACAAACTCCTAAATTGGTAGGAAATGCCAGAGATCCCTAAAGGCAGGTAGTTTGAGTTTGATCGATAGTAGGCAATGTGAATCAGGCTGACTGTGCTAGGGTAGAAAACTGGAGCTGTGATCTGTTTTTGGAAGCAAGCTTGAGTTTCGGGTCACCTGGAGAAAGGGTCCAAATTAATGAGGAAACTTTTACCAAACAGTTATACCTGTATATTTGTGTCAGTCATATGGATATGAGTTAGGGTCAGATCCCTTCCTTTGGTTTCTTCCAGTCGTATAGGAAATGATGTGATCCATTTCCCATATTTTCTGAATGTAAGTGGCCATTCTGTGTCCTATCTTGATTCCCAGTCTGTTGTACCAGCTAGTTAGCAATTCTCCAGTCAGGGCTCTAACCCCTTTGTTCTTTGTCAAACTTTGTAAATGTATTTATTTATTTATTGAATAAGGTAAATTTATTACCTCCCTTCATCTGTAGATCACATGTTCTCCATTCAACATACATAGTACTTACTTAGATAGACCCTTTATTAATGAAATACTGTTATGATCGTTTGAAATGCAATTATGTAAAGGACTCATTATATCTGTTTCCCACTAGAAATACCTCCATTATCTGTTTCATAAGCCAGAACAATTCAGTTTTGTAAGTCAGTTTCCAATTCTTTTATCCATCACCAGGGTTCCAGGATTATCGTCATACGAATGAGGGCAGTAGGTGATAGATTAAAGACAACCACAACTCCTCAGTATAAGTCCAGCATACTAGTTATACCTTGTACAGATGCTTCTTACTTGCTTCGTAGCCATTGCAGAAAGGCCCTAATCAGATTGAATGTTATTAACCTGCCATCTCTGTTTGCTTGTGAGAAACTCCTTCCATTTTGAGGCTCGACAATTTGCAAAATGATGCATGCTTGGGGACTGTTAGTCATGATTCCTACCGTAGGCAGCAATTCAGACTGACTTTAATGACGAGGGGCCCGTCAAATCGAAAGGATCAGCAACAAAGGTCACAGAGGAGCTCGACCCAGGGTACTTCCAGATGCGAACGATTTAGCAGTAGCCGGTCATTGCTGCTCTGCTTTAAGCTACACATAGAACAGTAACTTCACTTTGATACTTTTGGAATCCAAATGCCATTCCAGCAGCATAGTCAAATTATCAATATCCCTTTCCCTAACCCCAGATGGTGTGTATGGAACAAGTTTAATTGGGAACTTAGTATGAGGGTTAATTACTCCCCTCACTGTCTTCCCAGTCATGATTGTTCCCCTGCTGCATTTTTTTTGGCGGGGGGGAGGGAGGGAGGAAAATGGATAGAAGGGCAATGCAATTTGGAAACAGAAGGGTTAAAGTAGTGTAGAATTGATTCCCAGAGAAGAGAGATGAACCGTAGTAAAGGAAATTGCTAGAGCACAATCTATACAGGCCGTTATTGACCTGAAGAGGCCAGAACTGCTCCATGATGGGCTGTCCACAGCTAGAGAAAATGGTGAAGCTGTTCCACTGTGTAAAATGCAACAACCAATAACTTGGGTTTTCTGGGTTGTTGAGAAGGGGGCAAGGAAGCTGAAAAGTAATGGGACATTTCAATCACTACATCATGCATCCATTACTGTTGCTTGAAACTCAAGTGGCTTTGGTGGCAAAAAGTGCCTTCCATCAACTTTGGCTAGTGGCCCAGCCATGATAGCTCAGTTGGTAGAACATGAAACTGTTAATCTCAGGGTCATGGGTTCGAGCCACACTTTGGGCAAAACATTGTAGAGATTTGGGCTGGAACTCTCATGCTACAATTCCATGAAGATAGTGATAGCCTAACATATGTTTTCTGTGCTGTGGTTAGATTACTGCATTGTGTTTTACTTTTGTTGATGGTTCAGAAACTTCAACTGGTGTATAATTAAGCACCCAGGTTGCTCGCTGGGGCAAGATGGTCTGAGCACAAGACACCAATGACTGCATTGCCTACCAGTTAGTTTCCAGACCCAATTCAGAGTGCTGATTTTGACTGATAAAGCCTAATGCTCAGGATCCCAATAGCCCAAGGTCTGCCTCTCCTAATGTGACTCAAAACAGAGCCTGCACCAGGCAAAATATACTTGTCCTCCCAGGTTATTGGATCTTTGTTTCCTTCTTATTTTTTAGTGGAGTGGGGTTGAATTGGATCATCTTTTGAGATACATTTGTGTTTTAAGATCTTTTTAAACCCTTCTTTTTAGAGTTGTTTTAATGTTCGTTTTTGTAAGTTGCTACAACTTTCAATTTTCTGAAAAAAGCAAATGACGACGATGATGATGTTATAAACAAAAACAGCTGTTCCACAGTGTGGAAACACCACAGAAACTAGACCTGAGCCAATGCTTATCCACCAAGATACCTTTGAACATGTTTCCCCAATCCCTGATCCTGTGGTTCCCAGGAAACTCACATATCTTCTCACTTGGGGCCCCACTGCAAGATCACAAGTGTAGACAATCAACAAGGAGTTCTTCAACTCTTACATAAGTTTCCAGACTTTCCTGTGAATTTTTGCTCAAGATTAGAGGTAGGAAAGAACTGATCACTCTATTCCTAGCTCATGACAACTGTGTGTGTGTAGTCAAGTCTTTCTAACCCTGTTTCCACATTAATCTTTAGAAAAGAATCCATATGAAAATTAATATTAAAATATATGTGCTTAAATACACTCTTTCATGTATATTAATATGTTTCCTGAGCCAAAAACTATATTGCAAAAGTCATGTAAGTGCTAAGTCTGAAGGATGATTACATTTCAATCTTCATTCATTTGTTCTGTAGTTGGTATGTAGCTGTTAGCCATGATGGCTAAGTGAAACCTCTGTGTTCAGAAGAAGAATGCTGCTGAATGCCAGTTGCTGAAAGGGACCTCAAGGTCACCTAGTGCAAGCCTCTGCAGGAACCTAACTGCTGCAACATCCCCAGGCATCCAGCTGCTGGGGCTTCTCACTAGGTCACTGCTAGAGACAAGATGATGAGTTATAAATGGCTTAATCTTTAAAAAGACCTCTAAGCAGTGTACAACAGAAAAGCAGTAAACAATGTCATAAACAAAAATACTACACAAAAACCTCTAAAACAACAATATAAAAATATTTAAAGAGAAATAAAACAAGAGAAATACATGCAGACAAAAAAACCAGAATCTGATCTTATGCATCCTCGAAAATAGGCATGTCTTCATAAGGCATCTTAAGCAAAGGATGTTTGCTGCTTCAACTGTGGCAGAGAGAACAGCATCTCATGGTAGAGGGGCAATAGTGGAAATGGCCCATTTTTGGAACTGAATTTGGATGGAACTCCAGGCCCATCAAGAAGGGCTATTCTCACTCCAATGTTCTTTTCCCTCCATATATTCTTAGCTCTAGTTTCACCTCACCCTTTCCTCCAAACCATCAGGACAATTACAGTGGGACTCGTCACATTTTATTCTCATAACAATGTGTTGAGGCAGATTATGCTGTGAAATAGTAGTGCTCAAAGCCACTTAAGGGCAAAGTGGGGCTTTCAAAGAAAATGGCAAACCCAGAATTATTTATGCAACTCACTAACTCTCATGGCAGCAATCTGCGTGCCTGTCAGACACTGTGGTTTATTTACTCAAACCACAGCTGGCTGCTGGTATGTTTTCGGGGTCTTAGTGATGGAAGGTTCTAGCTAGTTTAAAATAAACCACATTATTCAGAGCTGAGCGTTTATGTGCAGATTTGCCTTATTATAGAGAAAATGACGTGCTTGTTCAAGAAATCCCTGCAGAGCTGTCAAAAATGAGCAAACCAGATCCCCGAATTGGGTTTTTGAATGGTAATTAAAACTTTTACAATGAGCTTGTTAGAAAGTCAAAAAGTTGGAGGTGATCCAACTTAAAATGTAGGCCCTTAAAAAAACAACACCTTATCGTATCTTAAAAATATCCTGCAATTGAGCATAATGACTATGAGCATAAATTATCACAAATTTGTTCTAAATAGGCCTAGGGTAAAAACTCTGTAAACTGCTTCTGTCTTGTATTAAGCCAGTTGCTCATTGACAAATATGGGGCAACTAGATGGTTTGCTTTAAGCTGGCCCATAGACCTGTGGGGAAAAACTGGGAATTTTCACTTACAGTACAATATTATGCATGACTGCTTCCAGGTAAGTGGGAATGAGCTCACGGCTTTAACTGGATGACCACTTTTCTTGCAGGCACAATGTCGTTGAATACTATAGACCTCAAGCCAGAGGTCCTGTAGGTCACAATTCTTTCTTCTCATAGCTTTCCTGATCTGTGGGCATTTCAAGCCAGGATAAAGACACAGCTCCCAGAGCTGATCCAGGCGAACCAATCCCTTTTATGGACAGAACTTTAACACTAATAGGCAGTCATGGTTTTGGTAATGCATGACCCCATCACACTCGTGGCATCTCAGTTCTTTAAATGGCAACAGACTGTGATGTTAAAGCCCGAGGGTGTGAAAGTACATTTAAATGTAGCACTGGGGTGTGGGGAGGGGATGCAAAGGAAAAAGAGTTTGACTATAAAAATATAAAGCAGGAAAGCTAGCTGTGGGGAAGATAAGGCACCAAGTGTATTGGAGGCTTATAATATTTATCTTCTTTAGCTTGGTGCTAATAGTTTCATCATAAGATTGTATTTTGCACCAGGCCTATAGTGAAGTGTTAAATTAGAACAGTCTGGGAAGAACATTTCAATGTAGCTTGTGAAATACCATCATACGAAAATGGTCATCTGCCTCTAAATTTTCTCACTCATTTCCCGCATCCTTCAAATAAATGCAATGGTAGTTAAGCGTATGAAAAGAAGTTAAGGTATATATAAATAAAAACTAGGGAGTCTGTCAGGCTGTCGTCACAATTCTCATTATTCCAGTGTCTTTCATTGACTCAGTCTCTCATATTTGCTGTGGGTCTTCTGATGTGATTATTTTACAATAGATCTGTTGAGCTTTGATTCATGGACAGAAAAAAATGACTTCCACCAGCAACCAGATTAAGGAAAAAAATGTAGCTCAGATTATGTCTGTGAACAGCTTTGAACATTCACAAGTGTTGTATAAATGCTGCAGTTGTGACCTATAGGCATCTCCCAACTCATTCAGGGGTTACATTCCTGGATACTGTATGTATATGTGAAATCATTTATAGTGGGGGACCGGCTAAAAAGCCTGCAAACTCCTCCAAATCCCATACTGCATACTGCTTTAAGGATTATTCAGAAAAGATGGGGTATCAATCTTAAAAATACATTAATAGCAGGAAAGGTTTCACAATGGGGGGGGGGGAGGATATTTCATTCGACTTCTCCTGAAACCTACTATACTCCAGGCTGGCATGACTCCTGAATAGGAGCAATCTTGCCATGAGCTGGAGAAATATACAAATAGGTCCCTATTTTTATATTACTATCACCTGTTAAATTAGCTTTGGGGAGGTACAATCCTAATTGCTTATCTGACAGTGCAATCCAATGCATATCTATGCAGGAGTAAACCTGGGTGGGTGTTCAATGAGACTTTCCGCAAGGTACATGTCTATAGACCTACAGTTCAAGTAAACACTACATGAGTAACTAACTAAAAACTTTTTCCTGTCTACCAAGAGCTGCTATGTACTGTATCTGTTCAGCTAGCATGAATACAGTTTGCTGTTTCTTAAGTTTTCCCTGAAATTCTAAAGTATAGAATCTGACCTGGTTAAAACTCCCTGGTGATTTCACTGCTGGTCCTGATCATTATTTTTGTGGCCAAGTGGGATTTCTGCATTTTTCTCTCAGATTTTTGCATGGCCCTAGAGAGCTTTGCTACCTTCCTCAGGTGCATAACAAACTTTACATGCTTAAAATGAGCTGTTTTTGTTGCAAACATCTCCTGTAAGTGGTTCAGTCCTCCTCCCTGTGATGATCTCCTCAGTTACCTACAGAGGCGGAGCTAGCTGCTCCGGCACCTGGAGCAGCGCACATGCCATGCACCTGGGGGTGGGGCTATGGGGTCGGGACGAGCGTCCCAGGGAGAGGGGTGAGCGTCCCAGGGGGTGCCACCCATGGCGAGCTTCCCAGGGGGGCACTGCAGCCAGCTTCCTGTGGCGGGGGAAGCCGTGCTGCTTTGCCAGCAGCTTCCCTCCCTTCCCTCTTCCTTTTGATAGCTCAGGGAGGCTTCCCCCCCAGGAAGCAGCCTGGGAGTGGGGGGCAATGGCGTGCCACCCTCCCACGACTCCCAAGCGTCCCCCGAGCTGTCAAAGCGAAGGGGGAAGGCTGCCAGGAAGGTGGCGCAGCTCCACCCCTTCCCCTCAAGGCTCGGGGTAGGCTTGGGAGTCGTGGGCAGGCGGCATGCCAAATGTCACCCCCCACTGATGATACCTGGGGCACACCACTCCCACTGCCCCCCCTTACTCCACCCCTGGTTACCTAGATGATCTATATGTATCAATGTGAGGTTTAGCATGTGATGGATTCTTCCAAGCACAGAAATAAGACTAGTTGACCTTCAGATTACTTTTAGCCCAAGGCCCTCCACTTTCCAGTGTGGTGTAGTGGTTAAGAGTGGTAGACTCATAATCTGGTGAACCAGGTTCGCGTCCCCGCTCCTCCACATGCAGCTGCTGGGTGACCTTGGGCTAGTCACACTTCTTTGAAATCTCTCAGCCTCACTCACCTCACAGAGTGTTTGTTGTGGGGGAGGAAGGGAAAGGAGAATGTTAGCCGCTTTGAGACTCCTTCTGGTAGTGATAAAGCGGG